AAAATAAACAAAAAATATAATATTAAAAATAAAGAGACTTTTAGTCTAATAATAAAAAAATAAAAAAATTGTTATCGATCCAATTTGACCTAAATAAATTTTCCAAAATACATACATCGTAAATTATATAATGATAATTATTTATAAAAAACCAATTGATAATAAATCAGTAAAGATTTAATTTTAATAATTAAATTTCATAGGTTCGCTAACGATGTAAAATAAAATTATTCCGTAAAGTCAATTTATGAATTTGTAATGAATTTAATAAATGAGGTAAATAAAATAAAACGCGTGGATGCGATCCAAATTTACCGATATTATTATTTAAGCGTATACTCGCTATTTAAACATCATTAATTACAATAAATGATTATACAATTTTTTATTACAATATTTATAATAATTTTTAATTCGTTAAATAAAAAAGTTATTAAAATAATTAAATTATTTTATAAATAAAACACGAAAATAAAGTAGCTGAAGAGAAGTATAAATAAAGTATGTAATCCAGACACGTATTTTTTAATGGGGTATAATTAATAGAGAACGTGATGATGATGAGTACGAGTATAAGGTAGTATCATATCAGAAATGGAATAAAGATTAAAGCGAGTCTGATCCGTCAAAAGAAAAAATCCTTTGAAGTCTTCAGTCCTCCCTTATCCTTTCTTCATACCCGAGGATTCTTTTAGTAACTCTCGTAATTTACTGGTCATTTTTTATTTATTTGTTTGCGTTCGCTGTATTTTAATCAACTATTTTGTGGAAAATATAATACCCCTGGTATTTATTAATTATAATTAAAAGTGAAGACACCATTTTTAATGGGAGCGACGTTAAACTTTAGCTTAGAGAAAGTTATTAATTGGTTTTAATTACAAACGCGATAAACAGCGCCGGAAAATTATCCAAAGCGACGGAATATTGAAAAAGTTTATGCAAGGAGCTATTGATATGGATTTTATTTCTACATAATATCCTGTTGCTTTTATTAATAAAACTCTTGTTACAACAGGCATTATTGATACGCTAGCTCAAAAGCGCTTCCGCTGTCGACGGATTTAATAAAATGCTGAGATTTGCGAATAAACTTTTCCTATCAAATACGACTATTGTTACAGAAAAAGTTCTATTTAACTTAATATTTTTCACTTAAACGTTGAAAAAATAAAATTTAATTATTTCAAAATAATAATTAGCTTTTGCACGGAAAAAAACTATTAAAAACCCGTTAAATAGATCGATTATTCAATCTAAGACCAGAGACGACAAGATGGCAGCTTGCTACGAGATGGCGGGGAGTTGCGCGCGCATTGGCGGCAAATTTGAATCTTACTTTAACTTCTCAGTGATTTAAATGAATTTTCACCGACATTTATGATGTAATCAAGTATTTATATTAAAATATACTTGAAAAAGTGTTGTTTTATTATTTTTAAAGCGTCTTGACAAAAAAAATTATGTCTAAATAATGATTCTAGTACTATGTAATTATTTATACTCTACTAAGCCGCTCATCAGATCGTTATCTCGAGTCTTTTGGTAGTGTTACGGACTGCCCGATAAGGAACCGAGTTTAGCAATCGGCCGTAAATCCCAGTCCATAGTAACATTAGCATACCGGAAATCGTTTTAATCGTTGTTATCTCAAGAAAGTTATATAGCATCATTATCATTAACATAAAAGTACCCTTACTTATTTTTTTTTTTTTTATTTCAGAATCTAAAATCCCAACACTTACTCAATTCTTTTCGCTGCTTTTCTTTTGTGTAAAAAGATCTATGTCTATAAAGTATATAAATATATAAAAGTAGACCTTAAACACAGGGAACGCTAGTCACGTTTATAGACTTTTCAATTTAGGTTTTGCACACCCAGTGCACTGCATACATGACAAGTCTTGGTGTATGTCGGGTAAAACTTATACACAACCGTTTATATTTTCCGAGCGACAGCGTTCTTTAAGCTATTATGATTTTTCTTACTCTTCTCTTCATTTATAAAAAAATATATAGATATAAATGTGGAAAATTTTTCGTCCATTTTGAATTTAAAAAACAATGCCAAGAGTGAGAAAATATTGTAGAAATTTTCTTTGTTTCGGTAAAATGTATGTGGAGGTAAGAAATGATAGTGGATATATAGAATACAGAGCACATAGCAGTGCTGAGTGAAATAGAGAAAGTGTTGAAAGGAATCATAGTGCACCAAAGAAATGGGAAAATAATTGACTGCGACGCAGCTTGCAAGAGCTTTAGTAAATTTTATTTGATATATAGTCTTGCTAAGAATTGTTATGTTGTTATTTATTAAACTGGAAATATATTTCAACCAAAATATGTTATAGATGATTTATGTTTTTATTTATACTATAGAATGTTTTGGTTTATTATTTTTAGGGTAGACTTTGATAAATGATTTATTTAAATGTTAATATTTTTTAATTAATTTTGAAAAAAATATTTTTAATAGATTAATTTCTAATTTTTTAATAATTAATGCGTTACTTTTTGACGAATTAAAAATATCTAATTAATATTTTGAAAATTCTAATTTTAAAAATCTCTAATTTAAAAGCTTTTAAAATTTTTTTACAATAATTTACTAAATTTGTTTTATTTAATTTAATTTAATTTTTAAAATTCAATAATTTGCTTCTTTATAAAAAAAAATTTCTTTTTTTTTTTCAGAATTTGTTGATTCACAATAAGTTTATTTATTTATTAATTTATGAGCTTGCTTGAGTTATGAATATGTAAAAAATAATAAATTTAAATATTTAGTGAGAATAAAAAACTTTCAATAATTTTCTGAAACAAATTAATTATTAAAAATTAAAATTATAAAATTTTCAATGAAAAAAATTTTTTTATAACTAAAATTCAAACATTTAAAAAAATAAATGATTGATTGCCCTCTTTACATATCTAATTAAATTTTCCAGGTCACAGATAATGAAATAATCCATTGAAGTGATGATCTGAATTATTTGTACGGAGATTTCGCTAGCGAAGTGAATATTTATCGAGGTATGAAAGTCAAACCGAAAAAACAGAACAAGTACAAAGAGTAATAATCGGTCGTTGGAGAAAAAAGTCGGTTGATTTGAAAAGTTTAAAGATATGGATGTCAGTAATGAGAAAAAGAGGCAAAAGGAGAAACAAGAAATCCTTGCTGGCTAGAAAGAAGAAAAGTGAGGGCAAGAAGTAATAGCAGAACTAGTGACGGTATCACTCTGACAAAAAGGGTAAAAGATCTATATATACTATATATTAGAGGAGAAAGACGTAGATGAGTGGGAAGACTTTTCCGAGGATTAATTAAGCCGGGACGGCGTAAATTGCACGGGGTATCCGATCTATTTAAAAACAAAAAAATTAAACACTGAGGAAAAAGTCCCCGAGTTTCGTTGCCTGGTTATTACTCCTGGAAATTAATTTAATGGAGAATTGAAATTTTCAATACCCAGGTTAACTAATAAAACTCGGAAAATAAAGTACTAAGATTTATTGCTTCTTTTTTAGTCACTCAGATCTGTATCTGTGGAACGTTTAATTGGCTCGGGGGTTTTGTTTGATGAAAATTTACTATCGATACTTTTTATGCATAATGTTCGTCGTCGATTGTTGAAAATTTAATAAATTTACATGATAAAAATATACGCAGATAAAATATTAAAAAATTTTTAAATTCAAATTGGTAATTTTTGATAAGTCTTCTTATAGATTATAAAATAATTTTAATTTTTAAATTTTAATATCAATTTATTTGAACATTAATAAAGTTAAAAACTAATTTTTTTTTATTTTAATAAAATTATCAAATAAAATTTTCATTTAATAAAATGATCTAAGCTTGTCGATTTACAGCCAACACGTGAACAAAATAAAAAATAAAACTTGTAATAAATTGAAAGCTTCTAGATAAAAGGAAGTGTATCCATATTCATAGACCTAAAAGCAAAAAATAATCTGTCACGTGTCGGAGTAAGCTGACGGACAAGTGAAGTTTTATTGCCCGACTTTGCCAGAATTTTTTGTCACTGTTTTGTGCTTTTTGCTGTACCAAACCCCGAGTCCATATATTGAACATCGAAAACTATTTTTAGTTTCCGTCCTCAGTACCTTCAGTCCCTCTATTACAGCGCAAATTAAATTGTATCGACAATCACTGGAAAATATACGAGAATAGACTTTGATTTTTGTCTAAAACTGTAAATCATTTTCGTGCTCAAATTATTTTTTCTTATCAATGCCGGAATTAAAAATATAAATATCGTACGATTTGATATCGGGAATTTAATTGATTTGAGGAACTGAAAAAATAGGTCGTTATTATGTTAGTAGCCCGCGGCAAACCTTAATTACGAAATATGTAAGCCTCGTGTAATATTTTTGTTCGACAGTTACAAATTTATTTTTGAATGAAACAGTTCGGTGCTGTTGATAAATGTTGATTTAATGTCTCCAACAATGAAAATTTTATTTCATTTAATTTTTTACATTTACTCACTCATTATCGTGAATGGGGTATTTTATCATGGATTTCGACAAATCTGCCATCAGATAGTGCATCACTCTTTTCACTTTCACGACCATGGGGCAGGTAATTTTTTTTTTTTTAATCCATTAATAATTGCACTGAAAGAAGGATTTCTTAGCATTTAAAAAGATTTCTTTGTATTTAAGAAATCATTTCTTAAACATCATTTCTTAGTATTTAAAAAATATTTCTTAAATACTAAGAAATATTTCTTAAATACTATGAAATATTTTTTAAATACTACGAAATCCTTCTAGCAGTGTGTAATTTTTCAGAGCGAACCCATATTACCGATTGTAAGCTGGTCAATATCGAAATAAAAAATTACGGTAATTTTAGTAGCAATATTTTGGAGTTGAAGATCCTTTTCGAAAACAAAGAAATTGAGTCTCTAAAACTTTACAAAACTGACGGACTATTAGCAAATGGAAATACGCCGCTTTATTTCCCGAATGTTGCATCGAAGATCAATTACACGAATTTCGATTCGGAATATTTTTTTGATGCTTCGACTATTCATAAGGTAATTTTTAAAGTTTAATAATTTTTTTTTTACCTTCGCCGGGAATCGAACCCTGTACTCCCGGGTTAGTGTTTTGCGACTTTCGCACTTCGCTAATCTAAAATCACTGACCAACTCAGTTCATCAATTTTTAAATTAAATATCGTTTCTTCTCGATATTTTCTTCTCAAAAATAACCCTTGCAACAGTTTGCTATTTTGTTAAGCCATTTTTTTATAAATACTTCTAGTATGTGCCAGAACTCGGTAACTTTTCAATGTATCACGATAGGAATAAAACAGCGTCGATGATGGTCTTTCGCAAATTAAAAAATTTCCATGTGGTATGTACTTTAAAATTATCATTTTTTTTATTTTTCCTTTAAAATAATAATGACCAATTTTATATTTTTTGAGGACGGAAATGTCGGAAACTATATACTCCGTAGATTGCCTCACATTCAGTATCTGAGCACGAAGTACGCGTACATACGAATAAAGCATGTCAATCAAGGTAAAAATTAGTAATTACATTTTTGCAACCAATTTTTAATTTTTTGTAACTACAGAAAAAATTTGGGACAATTACGTGAACAATACAAACTTGTCGTACGATTTGCAAGTGCCTGAACTGAAAAATGTCACTATAAATTTGTTGGTGGTGCTCGATGGTTTTTCCGTGACGTAAAATTTTTTTTTATCATCAATAATAATGATTAATCGATAAATATGTAGATAATAAACAATAAACATTAAAATTTAATGCAGTAAGCCCCGGATTGAATTAATTCGTACACTTTTGATGTACTTCAACTACATCGACATGTTTCACGGGAATTTCACTTCTCCAAAAATTCAATTTTCCATCAAAGGAATAGTCCTACCTCCGGTAAGTTAATTTTTGTCATTATTTTATTTAATTCAATGCAATTTAATAAGAAGTCATCCTTCAAGACAGTTGATTTCATTCCGTACTTGGGAAACAACCGGGCAAGTACTCACGATTTGGACCTAACTCATTTGCACAAATCAATCCGAACTATGTACAAAGTTCATCAAAATTTTTTAGATCTGACTAGTCATGATATTATCACAGTAATGACGCAGTATGTACTTTAATTATGTGATATATTATTGAAGGAAATTATAAATTTTATTTTTGTCATTCTTTTAGACGAAAAGCTTGCAATCACTTAAATAAGACTAATTTCGATGGTGATCATGACTATTATGAAGATGAAGATGAAAATTGTTATATTTTAGGTAAATGTTGAAAAATTTTGAATTTAAGTATTTTTTTTATTAATTTTGAATATTTTAGATATGTACAGCAATTATCTTTGGAAAGAAAGAAGTAGCCCACGTCTAATGATTGCATTTCATTCTGATTTTCAAGGCTATCATGGTATTTTATTGGATGGATTACTTTCAATGTAAATTATTTATTATATTTATAACAAATTCATTTTTTTAAATGTTTTTTTAACTGATAAAAATTATTGAATAAGTAAAATTTATTTAAACCAAAAATTTTTCTTCTAGATTCAAAATGATCTTCTTGGTTTAAGAATTTTTTTTTTATCAGTTTAAAAAATTTATTTTTGGTAATTAATCGACTAAATTTTTTCTATTAATTAGTTTAGGATACGCTGAAGAAACAGACGAGTCTCTAAAAAATTGCACGGGAATAGGAAGAGAAGAAATTCTTAGTGATGACTTAAAGTATCCTTTAGCGTGGAGTGCTTGTAATATTCAACAATATTCAAATCAATTTCGGTAAGTTACTAATTAACAATTCGACAAGTTCATTTTTTTTTTCTATTCAAAAATTTATTTTCAGAAAATTTAACTGCTCTAACTCTAGAAGAAACGAAGCCATTTTAGATGATACACAAAAAAAAAGAACAAAATAACAATAGAAGCCTACTTTTTGACATAGCTTATGAACTTATAAAATCTGTAGGATCAAAACTTTTAGAAGATTTTATGAGCACAGCTAATTCAACACTACCACATAATAAAAATTAATTTTATATTTTAAATTCATTTGAAGATAATTTTTATTAGGAACATAAATAAAAGGTTATTTTAATTAGTAAAAGTATGAATGTGTCTATTGGCATAGAAGACTACAGATTGAAGGCCAAAAATGGTCGCAATAAAAACGGTGATATGAAAATTTTTTATTAAAAAAAGATATTAAATAGATAAATAAAAAATGGTGAGAAACGTTATGCCCAGAAATAAAAGAACCACAAGCTATCGTAAAACTGCGGTTCAACAAACACAACCAAATAGTAGAGATAACAAACCATCAATCTACCGTAAATTTAACGATTCAATGAATTGACGAATCCGTAACCCATTGCTTCATACCAATATCATCCACACGCAGGGTTATAAAAAAATCTACAATTCAAAATATTTTTGATACCGTCATTCAATTATTTTTAACGCCATCTTCTATTTCTATTCCATACATTTTTATTATTTATTAAATCATTTCGTGTCCCGATTTCACGCTGTCACTCGGATTGACAATTCCTCTTTTACACCGAAGCTACTCGATATCTAGGATAATATAAACTACTTTACCCACCGTTGGAATTATTCAAATCCGTTAATTAGTTTCCGAGATATTTACAGTTCGTACATCCGCACCGTACAATTCCCAAAACGGCTGTAACTCTTAAACTACAGATCCTATTGAATTTTTACAAGAGCCAAAATTTTTAGGAAATTAAATTTCTTATCCAATAGCTATCTCCAATTTTCAATTATCCTCTTCGGTGTATATACTTTTTCACAGGATTTGTTTTTCAACAATTAGGTTAATAGAATGTTTTTTTATCAATTTTCAATAAAAGAAAAATCCAGAGCGTCCTTCTGGCGTAAAAAAAAAAATTAAATAAAATGAAAGACAAATAAAAATATATTGTCAATTGAATTCAGTGAATCGTATAAAATAACGTGTCCCTATATAGAGTATTTGATAACACACACACCTGACACACTACACTCTATTTCAATATAAATACATTCATCTGCTATTTTATCCAACAACATTGTGAATTTAAATTCGTAACAAGGTAAAAATTTTTAAAAATATCTAAAAATAGTCCATCCAGCTTCAACAACATAGAAATAAAACCCAGTCATTTTTATTTTAAAAATGTAATTTAATTTTCCTCAACTTATTATTAAATTTAATTAAATTTAGCTGTATTAAATTTAAATCAATTTAACTTAATTGGATATTTGTTTTCCTTCTTTTTTCCGCGTTGTGTCCCCGTCTATTCACTTTGTGTAATTAAAATAAACGTGATACTACTGATAATATACGAAGGATTTATTAAAATTATTAACACATCGTTTAATTTACGAGTCTCATTAAAAATAGTATTATGATTATCATTATGTAATAAATTAATGATCTACTTAATTAACTTTATTTGTTTTTATTTTTATCGTGTTTTATTAACGATATAAAATATTGGAGTAAAATAAAAATTTAAAAATTAATTCCGTCCAATTCACGGACAAGCTTCAAAGTAAGCTCAAGTGTATCCTTGTTATTGAGCCACTTGGCTGACGAATTGTTCGGATCAATAGAGTGAGGAGTCGGCAAATACAATCGGTACTTAGGGCTCCGTACGTCTATTAAATCTGATTCGACAGTAAGTTCAATATTTTTCATCGACTCGCTCGGTAGTTTTATCGAAAGTGTTATCCATTCACAAGAGGCTGATCCTGGAGTTTTGAAACCCATCTAAACACAATTTTACTTTATGAAGCTTGGGGTAAAAAATTTTTGATGTTTAATATTAACAAATTAAAGAAGTCTTAAAGTAAAAATACCCCCAGAAAAACATCTTCAGTAGTGACAGCTTGTTTGAACTTCATTTCATATTCCGGCACTTGTCTGGGGTCTAAAAGTTCAGTTGAAGTTGTTGTTACTTCTGAAGGATGCCAAATTTCGTCGCTTTCTAGGTTTAATGGAGCGTTTGGCCCGGGATTTGGCTCTGATGACTCTTTCAAGGCACTAATGTCACCAGGCCCTTTATTTTCGATAAATTATTTTATTTTACTTTTCTTAAAATTATAATTAAGGTAAAAGACCCCATTAGTGGGACCTTTAACCTCTACTAGTGACACTTTTTCTTTCAATGAAAAAATGTTCTACTTGGAATAAAAATTAAAAATTTTTTAGATCTAAAGGTCTTAAAGATTATAATCTAAACATGAATTAGTGAAAATTCACTGGAATAAGTGAATATTCACTAATTCTAAGTGCCAATCGAGCCACTTTGAAACCAAAGTGGTTCAATTGGCACTTAGAAGAAGTGAATATTCACTTATTCCAGTGAATTTTTATTAATTCATGTTTAGAGAGTAGGAATAATATTTTCATTATTGAAATTAATGATTTCATGAATTTAATAAGTACCAAAATCAAAGAAAGTGTCAGTAATGGGGTCTTTTACCCTATACTGAAAAAAAATTTTATTGATTCACGAGAAAAATTCATGAGCCAAGAAAATAATTTTTTAACTGAAAAAATTTTTTTTTTCAGTTAAATTTGTTTGATTTTTTTTTTTTGACTTGTTTTTAGTTCAAGAATTTTCCTCTAATCAATTCAATTTTTTTTTTTTTTTTTTAGTGTAATTACAAATGAAGATTGTTACTTATTATTTTAAGAAATTTTATTCTTTAAATTAAAAAAAAATTAATTTTGTTAATTAATTAGAGTATTAATATTTGTAATAAAGTTTTAGGCGCATTTTCTCAAATTTATATTTTCAAACTTTGTAAACGAAATTTATCAAAAACAGCTGGATAAGTTTTTAATTTTTACCAAATTTTCTCAACTATATTTTTCCAGTAATTAATCAAAAGATAAAAAATTTCAATAAAAGTATTCTATTTTTATAAATAATTTAAATATAAAGTTTTCTGTAAAAATCGATAATTTTCTTTTAATTTAACAAAATATTTTTTGATAATTCCTTCGATAAAATAAAAATTGAAGCAAAAAGGGTAATTCTGAAATAATAACATTCCAAATATACAAATGGTGATTATAAACCATTAATTATAAACTATAAATTAGTAATTATTAGGGCCAGAAAGTTAGCGTTTTTTCAATTACTAATTTTCAATTACTAAAAATTTTTTTTCTTTTTGTTTTTCTCTTATCTCAAATCTCTTAAATCTTAAGGGGGTATTCTAATCTAGAAGCATGAATTTCAGGTAATTTTTTGAAGTGCCGTAAAAAAAAGGCAATCAATATTTTTACTATACATTTTTTTATAAGTTATGTATTAACATTACAAGAATACAGAAAAAAATAAAAAAAAGTTGAAAATTCAAAAAATTAGCTGATGAACCTTCTAGCAATCTGAAATAAAAAAATATTATTAAGAATCTAGAGTAATGTCGCTATGCCATGAACTAGGGAAAAGTTGGAAAAAAAATTTTTTTTTAAAATAGCGACTGTCTGACAAAAAAATACTTTTTTTGACTTTTTCAAATTTTTTA